TTGACAGAATGTCAGAACCCAGAAGACAAAAAAAAAAAAAAAAAAAAAAAAAAAAGAAAGAAAGAAAAAGAAGGGGAAAAAAAGGCTGAACACTTGAGGAAAAAAAAGTCTCTTGTCTGTTTATGTTTTATTAAAAAGACATTTTGTTCTCATGATTCCGCCCTGAAATCTGGCCCTGCTGTTTAACCCCACTGACCGGTACAAGAGCTGCTCCTGGTATGGGGGGACGGAAAGCTGCAGAATAGAGAGTGCGCGCAAGAGAAAATGAGCTTCACATATTTGATGTTACTATAAAGGCAAGGCAGCAGGAGGAGGAATGGGAACAGAAAGACGCCGAAAGGAAAAAGTGTTGAAATGAGAAAGTGGGGGAAACACACAGAGGTAGTGTAGAGTAACCAGCTTCTACTTTGTTGTCTGTTCCACTTCTAGTAAAAAAAAGAAAAAAAAAGAAGAGAGAGTGACTGATTGAGGCCACAGCTGTTCAGGAYTGGAACAAAGTTTGGCTCTGAATTGATGGAAGTTCCCTCACAAAACAAGCGTGGCTTCCTGTTTGCASAGTGCACTTCGACGGTGCAGGAAACGTGTCGGCGTGGCGCAGGTGACACACAAAAGGCTCGCTGATCGTCTGATCCCCCAGCTGACGCACTAATCCACGGTGCCATTTCGACGAACACGCAAAGCAACAAGCAGCTAATTACGCCGCAGGACTTTCATTAGACGGCCCTTTTCACGAGATCAGATGTAATTTATCAGATTGTCATTTGGGAACACCTCTTCATTGTTTATCTGCTCATTACTATGAAACAGGCGTTTTGATTGACAGCACGCCAAAGTGAGAGGTCAGCGCATCAGCCGATCATTGTTTAGACAGCAGACAGCAATATGATGAATGTTCAGACTCCATTAGCTGGTGAATTAAAAAGAATTGGTGTCATGATAAGACAGTGAATGGTCCTGGGGGGATGAAGCCATAATAAATACCTGCAACCTTTATGGCCTTCACCTATAGGCTCCGCGTAGACTGGTAATAAATGTCACCGCAGGCTTAAAAAGTCTGCACACAATGCAGGCTTGTTTAAAGCTAGTTAGAAAGATAATGAAGATGTAATTGAGTATAGCAAAAAGGAGACACTCGCTATTATCAGACAATGAGTAAATGAAGCAGAGATATGGCCTGTGCACTGAGGCTATCATGGAGGAGACGAGAGCGGGATGCAGAGCACGTCGTTCCTCTGTCATCCGCCTGATGAGGGAGGCGAGCGACGCCTCTCCCCTGTGAGTTCTCACAACTGGTCCAGGCAACGCTCTCCCAAGGAATTAATTTGCTCAATTTCCCTACACTCACACACATCTACACAGACACACACTATCAGGACACCTCAYGCAAAACAAATGACCAGATTCTAACCAAATAACTGCGACTGGATGAAGGATTCAGATCCCAGCTTTGTTTTTCACGTAGCGCTCACAAAAAGAAGTGTAACTGGTGTTGAGCCATTGCTTCATACCAGGACACAAAAATTGGTGTATTTCTTTGTACTTGTCAACTGGTGGCCCGTGGGCTGGATGTGGTCTGTTGTCCTCTTTTATTTGGCCCACAAATATTAAATTATAAATAAAACAAACGTAGAGTCATCTTGATCATAAAAAAGAGAGATTGTGTCCAACTTAGATGCTGGCATGAAAATAGCAAATAAATCAAATAAACCTAATTCCAAGCTAGCTACAGCCCCAAAATGTTTTGCTCCTCAGAAGTTTACGTCTTGTATTTTATGAATTTAAAACTTTATTGATTATCTTGACTCACTGCCAATTGGCAATTTGAAAATAAAACAAAACAAAAAAACATTTTTATAGTCTGTCTTTCATTTTGGAAGCATCTGTTAACAAAATATCTCATAAACCACTGAAC